ATCTATCTATCTATCTATCTATCTATCTATCTATCTATCTATCTATCATCTATCTTTCTGATCAACAATCAACCGGTGGAACTGCTTGCCACCAGAGGTTGTGGCTGCTCCATCACTGGAGGCTTCTAAGAAGAGACTGGTCTGGAATGGTGTAGGGTTGAGCAGGGGGTTGGGCTAGAAGACCTCTGAGGTACCTTCCAACTCTGTTATTCTGTTATCACTAATTCTCCCTTCCCTTCCCTTCCCATTCCTCTTCTCCTCTTCCCTTCTTTCTCACCCTTCTACTTTTCTGTTTTTCCTTTCTTTCCAGTATTAGAATTTTTGGGGAGGTTTCTTTGTTGAACAGAGCAGCCTTTCCCAGATGTTTTAAGCACACCAAAGTTTCACTCCTTGGCTTCATGTTTTGCCTAATTTCACAAAAAAACAAAAAAACAAACAAACCCTAGCTTGGAATTCATCCACGAGCATAAAATGAACAGGCTGGCCCCCTTTTGCTTATGTTTTCCTCTGATGGCTGATGAGTTGCATATAGCTGTCATTACTAATAACCATTAGAATCATAGAGTCCAAGAGCTAGAAGGGATCTTGGAGGTCTTCTAGTCCAACCCCCTGCTGAAGACAGGAATTACACCATCCATTTTGCTCCCATTCCATCAGGCCCAATTCTTGGAGATGGCCTGGATAAATCCCTACAATTTTTTGGGCAAGGATTGTTGGTTTGACATTGCCTCTTTCCTCGGGCTGAGAAAGAGTGGCTGGCCCAAAACCATCCAGCTGGCTTTGTGCCCAAGGTGGGATTAGAACTCAGGATCTCCTGCTTTCTATCCTTATGGATTATTCACTGCACCATACTGGTTATCATGTCACCCATCCATCCATCCATCCACCCATCCATCCATCCATCCATCCATCCATTAATTGGATTTTTAAAACTGCCCAACTCAAAACTATGTGACTCTAGATGATGTACAGCAACAAAACAAATAATAAAACAAAAAGGAGCATATATTTTATGGAATATATAAATGTAACTGATATTGTTGCATGATTTGAGGCCATCAAAACTCCCCTGAAAAAAAGAACTCTAAACTAAAACTAATACTTTTCTTCATTAAAAGTATTTTCCCCTTTTAGTGAAGAAACAAAACAAGAAAAAAACCCCACACACTTTGAATCTTTGGGGACTCCAAATTCAGAATCTCTCTTTTTTTTTTCACCCCATCCTCCAGGCCAAGTGATATCTGGAAACCCAGGGAGGATCGCTCCGTTTCACCACCCCCCAGGAGAAAAAATACGCCAAAGGAATCTGTGAAGAGACTCCTTTCGCCGCCATTTACATCCAAGGATGCCCCCATGCGGAAACGCAAGCTGGGGAAAACAGCGGGGTCCTCGGACCCGCCAGCGCCTGCCGTGGAGACCTCCGCCATTTTGGAAAATAACCTGGTTCCTCTCCCCACACCCGTTATCCTCGATAACCCACCCCTGGAAAAACCAGAATATGAGAGTCTCAACGAAGCGGCTCCCTTTCTGCCTCCACCCGGAAACTCCGTGGTGATGTATTTTATGGACGTTGCAGCCCTCGCCCAACAGGATCCTGTCCTTCTCAACAGCGGGTCGGATTCCCGAGGATTATCTTCGGACGCCGCGTACCTGGCGCTTTCTCCTTCTTTTGGAGGCCCTTCGACGGCGCCGTGGGATTTTCGGGAAGCGGCAGCTGGCAAAGTCCAGGAAGTCGTGGAAGAAGGCACTGCTGTTCTGGAAGCCTCAAGCGACGGCGTTCCCTCGGAACGGGTGGAAGACGTGGAGATGGTCGCAGAGAAAGAAGAACTGGCCAAAGACAGGTTGGGGGGCAGTGAGGCAGGGGCTTTGGCGTTACTAGCTGAGAAGGAAGAGGAGGAGGAGGAGGAGGAGGGTGAGGTTGAAAGGCATGAGAACCATCGAGGAGACAAGCACTTCGCGCCTGCCGTAGAAACCCTTCCTGGAGAAGAGGCGCACCGAATCGTGACTGAGGCAGACGGGAGGTCCCTGAGAGTTGACGTCCCTCAGGAAGGACCACTGCTGATTGAGGACGAGGAAAGCAGGCCCGGATCTGAGGTCCTCTCCTCGCCGTTGAAGATGGGTAGGGAAGCCATGGCTGGGGAGTTCCTGTGGGACATACCCCGTTGCCCCCCTGCTGTTGTGCCCTGCCTAGAGGAAGGTAAGAGGAAAGACCTGGGAGTTGCAGAGGGGGCGCCCCAAAGTCCTCTAGAAGAGCCAAACCTCCAGTGGTTGCAAAATGAGGATGAGGGAATCGAGGAAAAGAAGGACGCAGAAGGAAGCGGAGTCTCCGGAGAGGTTGTGGAGCAGACGGCTGAAACAGCGTGTCCTGCGACCGAGGAAGGAGAGGATGGAGGCCAAGTTGATGACTGGAAGAAACTTTCAGAAGAAGTCCTGGGAAATGCCATGCCGAAGGAACCGAACGTCCGTCTGAACGGGAGCCCAGAGACTTTGGGCCAAACACAGCCGGACAGTTCAGAGACTTGGAGCTTAGGGTCACCTTGGGGTGGCGATCCCCCACAGCCTTCCCAGAATGTGCCCCCCAGCCAAAGTCCCCCAGACCACGAAGAAGAAAGCCTAGAAGGGGATGGTTTAACGCAGAGACCCCCGGAGACAGAAGTGGTGGTGCCCCACGCCTCCAGCCCGCCTGTATCTCAGGATTCTGGCCTGCCTGCCCCGAGTCCCCGTAGGAGTGCTGGGCCCTGCCATGAAGCCCCAGTGTTGAGCCCTGTGTCCTGTGGCACAGCCCCCCATTTGGGACCCGAAGGGAAAGACCAGGTATAGCCGGCTGTGGTCAGTCCCTTCTTTTCTTCCCGTGAGCCCTGCAAGCCTCCAATTAATTCGGGTTTGGGGGGGATGGTGGCTTCTGCCCAGCACAGCGAGGATGTTGGGGGGAGGTACCTCTGCTGCAGGGGTGGGATTCAGCCGGTTCGGGGGAACCGGATGTTAAATTTACATCTGGTTTGCCAAACCGGTCGTTGAACTGACCGGCTGGCCCCATGCAGATTTCCCCTCCCAGGAGTCTCCACGTGGCCCGTTTTGGATGGAGGTAGGGGCAGGGTCCCTACGGAGGCTCTGGGCAGGTGAAAAATGGGCCTTCCAGAGGTCTGGAAACGGGCCTGTTTCTGGCTTCCAGAGGGCCTCCGGAGCCTGGGGGAGGCTGTTTTCGCCCTCCCAGAGGCCCGAGGAAATCCTCCGGACTCTGGGGAAGGTGAAAAACGGCCCTCTCGGAAGTTCCGGTAGGCCACGCCCACCATGGTCATGCCAGGAACCGGGCAGTGATCCAGTTGCTGGGATTTTCAAATCCTACCCCTGCTCTGCCGGCACAAGGAGGGGAGGGAGGGCAGCAGGTGGGTGGTCCGAGAAAGCTCCGAGACCGCCCCCCCCCCCCAAAGTGTCTTTCTTTGATGGCTTCCTATCAGAAGGACACCGAGTGGCGTCCAGCAACTTCAAGCATGGAAATGTTGGGTCTGGTTATTATAGGCGGCATTGCCGGTAGTCCTTGGTTTATGACCGTTCGTTGAACAAAGGTTTGAAGCTGGAAAACCGATTTATGACCTGTCCTCGGTGTTACGACCATCGTACTTGCCCCGTGGTCACAATTTAGGAGCGTGGCAGCTGCCCTGCATATTTTAAGTTAAGTTTGCAGTGTTCTGCGGTTCTAAGGCGATTCTTCTCTTCTGGTTTGTGGCAAAAGTCCATGGGAGAAGTTGGATTTGCTTAACAGCTCCGTGATTCACTTAACAACCATGCCTTTCACTGAACGACTGCAGTCAAAGTGTTGGCAAAATTGGATGATGACTCATATAAAGACTGCATGGTTTAGTTTCAGTTCTGTTCCTGATTGTGGTTATAAGTTGAGGGCTCTCCCTGTTTGGGTCTTTTATAATTTGCAGCTGGGTGGGGTGAAATATAGCTAGTCCTCGCTTTATGATGACAGTTGAGCCCAAAAAAATTTACGTTGCTAAGTGAGATGTTTGTTAAATGAATCTTGGCTCATTTTACGACCTTTCTTGCCACTTGTTGTTAAGTGAATTTTTGCGGTTGTTCAGTTAGTCACGCAGCTGTTAAGTGAATCCGGCTGCCCCTGTCGGAAGGCCGCAAAAAGGGATCGCTTGACCCCACCCACCCACCCCGGGACACTGCAACCGTCATAAATATGAATCGGTGGCCAAACATCTGAATTTTGATCACGTGACCATGGGGTCACGCTGCAACGGCCGTAAACGAGAACAACGTTCATAAGTCGCTTTTTACTGTTTCTCCCGTTGTAACTTCGGTCACTAAACAGACACTCGTAAGTCGAGGACCACCTGTACTTCATTTTGCCACCGTTCTTTTCATTTTGGCTTTTTCCTCTTCTCAGGCAGAATCTCTCGGCAGCCCCACCCTGGTCAACTCCAGCCATTGCCTGCTGCAGTGGTGCCAGGAAGTGACGTCCGGCTATCGAGGGGTCCGTGTGACCAATTTCACCACGTCCTGGCGCAACGGCCTGGCTTTCTGTGCCATCCTGCACCACTTCCATCCCGAGAAGATGTGAGTTGTGGCGAGAAAACCCGCTCTTGGTCAAACAGAGTTACCGATCGGCAGTCAGGTAGTCCTCAGCTTACGATCATAAGTAAGCCCCGGATTTCCATCGCTAAGTGAGACGTTTGATCAGAGAGTTTCATGACATTTTACGAACTTTCTGCCCTCGGTTGTTAAGTGAATCACTTCTGTAGATAAGTTATTAACCTGCTTTTTAAGTGAATCACTTCAATTGATGTTATTAACCTGGTTGTTAAGTGAATCACATCTGTTGATAAGTTATTAATCTGGTTGTTAAGTAAATCTCTTCCATTGATAAGTAAGAAACCCCGGTTGTTAAGTGAATCACTTCTGTAGATAAGTTGTTAACCTGGTTGTTAAGTGAATCACTTCCGTTGATAAGTTAGAAAGCCGGTTGTTAAGTGAACATTCCGCATTGTCTTTGCTGATCAGAAGGTCGCAAAAGCGGATCAGGTGACCGTGGGGCTCTGCAGCCGTCATAAATATGAATCAGTGGCCAAGGATCTGAATTTTGATCACGTGGCCATGGGGATGCGGCAACGGTCGTAAGTGTGAAAAATGGTCCTAAGTTGCTCTTTTCAGGGCTGTTGTAACATTGAACGGTCACTAAACGGAACGGTTATAAGTCGGGACTCCCTGTATTTTGCTCTTCCAGCTCCCTCTACCCAACAGAAGTGAATTATTTGAGGATATTTACAATGATATTCACATTTATTTCCCCTCTTTCTTTTGCCTGCAGCAATTACAAAGCTCTGGATCCCCTCGACATCAAAGAGAACAATAAACTGGTGAGTCGGCTTTTGAACAACCGGCTCCGTGGGCGTGGCCTTATTTTGTGGGTGTGTTTTGGTGGTCTTGTGATGGGGTAGGCGTGGCTTGCTGACTGGGCATGGCTTGGTCATGTGGGCGTGGCTTATATGTAAATATTATAAATATGTAAATATTGAATTTTTTATAATTTAAAATTTGCTTGCAAGCAAACTCATAAAATTAACTCACAACACACCATGTATGTAAATATTGATTTTTTTTTATAAAAAAAAGAGCAACTTTTACCCAAAATCAGGCAAAGCAGGCAGGCAGATTGAGTTGCTCACAGAATCACAGATTCACTCAGAGATTTACCTCACAGATTCACTCAGAGATTTACCTTCTGCAATCTGCTACCTGAGTCTGCACTGAAAACTAGAAGCTTTAGTCCTAAGGAAGGCTCAGCTCTGCTTTTAGATTCGCTAGAAAGCAAGAAATCCAACGATTTCCTGCTTTCTAGCTAATCTAAATCTCCTGGTACAGCAGAACAGCTGATGATCAGGGGGGGGAAAAGGGAAAAATAGCAACTTAGCAGGCAAGTTTGATGGCGCGTATGCCAGGTAAGGGGTGAGTGGGCGGGTAGGGGAGGGGCCAGCCAGTGGCGCGATTTGCCAGTTCTCTAAACTGCGCAGAATCGTAACAACCGGTTCTATAAAACCAGTCCGACCAGGTAGAATCCCACCCCTGAAAGTAACATATGTAAATATAAAAAGGAAAATTGGTAATACGTAATGATATGAAATTAGACAAGGAAGTTATATATGTAATTATGGTCATGTTTGATTTAAAATGTAAAAAACCTGGAACCACACTGTTTCCCCTAAAGATGTAGTTAAAATAAAAAAAAATATTATTATTAAAAAAAGAAAGAAAAAAGGAATGTTGGGCTCAGCTGTGGTTGGAAGTCAAGGAGTAGCTGTATAATTCCTGCTAGGAAAAAGGCCGTCGGTTTTTAAGTGTCCTTTTTTTCTTCTTCTCCTTCTCTTATCAGGCCTTTGACGGCTTTGCCACGCTGGGCATCTCCCGGCTGATGGACCCGGCGGATATGGTATTCTTGACGGTGCCTGATCGGTTGATCGTAATGACGTACCTTTGCCAGATCCGGGCGTTTTTCACAGGACAGGAACTCAACGTAGTTCAGTTTGCCAGCCACAGTAGTGAGACCACGTACAAAGTGGGCAAATTCGACACCGATCTCTCGGGATCTGTCGATCCGGCTGTGTTTTACTCCCAACATCTGCAAAGTAGCATGGAGAAGCTAGAAGCCAAGGGGGATTCTGGGAAAGCCGCGAAATTGGAGGAGAAGCAGAAAGCAGAAGGGGAATCTGGTCTTCCGGAGGATTCTGGGAGGCCTGAAGAAGCAAAGGATTCTGGGAACGAAGCCGTTGCGGAGAGCGTCCCCAGAAAGGCGAGTGAGGAAAAGCCGAATGGCTCGAGAGTGACCGACAGCGTCCTCTCCTTCGGGCCAGAAGTGAAAAATGGGGTTGCCCCCAAAGAAAATAAAACAATATTTCTTGCTCCGGTGGATTATAAACCCCACGAGAATGTGGCAGATGAGATCGCCCCAAATTCACAGCGCCTCCTAGCGGAAATCTCCAAACCCGACAGGTTGATCAATGGTGCCCCTCCGGCTTTGGAACGGGAGGATTCTGGGGGAGAAACCCCAGGGCATGATGGGAAAGGACTGGCCAACGGCTCCAACCAGGACCCAGGGGATTCTGGGAAATGCGAGGCGGATGTGGAGAAGATCGATAAGGAAGACAAGATGGTTGCACCTCCCCGGCTCAAACGGCTCGCCTCCCGGGGCAGTGTGGAGCGCCCTCTGCAGCGCACCCCCTCAGCTGGCGGCGCAGGCCCTGTGGCTCCGCCCCGGGCCTCCTCCACCAAGTCTGCCTTCGCTCACATGCGCGACGCAGACCTGGTGAAGAAGCGACGGTCACGATTGAAGAGTGAGTCTCTCTCTGTGGACGAGGCGGAAGGAGGGGGACTGGCGGAGGAAGCCAGCCAGCGACAGACGGTGGTGAGTGGTGTCCGGAGGACAGTTCAGAAAAAGGTTGGGTTCAGCTCACTGGGTTGATTTCTTTTTTTGGTATAGGGAGTCCTCGATTTACGACCACCCAAAGTTTTCATTGCTAAGCAAGACAGTTGTGAAATGAGTTTTGCCCCATTTTACGACCTCCCTCACCAGAGTTGTTACATGAATCCCTGCTGTTGTGAAGTTAGTACAGGCGGTCCTTGACGTACGATCACAATTGAGCTCAAAATGTACGTCACTAAGTGAGAAATTTCTTTAATTTGCCCCACGATACTGTCAAGCCCAAAATTGACATATGCATAGCCATTTTATTTAGTTTTATTATATATTCCTTTTCTTTCTTTCTTTTTGCTGGTTATGGGGGGAAGGGTTTCGGGCTTGCCACATTCCTAAGGTGGGAGGAGTGCAGATAGTGATAGTTGTTTAGGCTAAGTGGTTCTCCTTCCTGTGGGAATAAAAGCTGACCCTGCTAAGACCTGGAGGTGGAGATTGATGACACCAAGCAAACATTGATTTATTTATATTACTTCTGTTGGGAAATGTGACTTTTGGGGGCTGTTTCTAATTTCCAATATTATGTGGTGTAATTCCAGGTTGTATCAGATCTGGAATTACAACAGATTTTGCCAATTTGATGCTTTCCTTAATAAAATAAATTGTTTTGGAACTTTGCTCTTTTTTTAAAAAATGGATTTAATCACTTGGAAACCTGGCTTTTCTTGCCACAATTGTTAAGCGAATCACTGCGGTTCTTAAATTAGTAACCCGGTTGTTAAGTGAATCTGGTTTGCCCCTATGGACTGTGCTTGTCAGAAGGTCAGCAAAGGGGATCCCGTGACCGTCATAAATATGAGTCAGTGGCCAAGCATACGGATTTTGATCATGTGACCGTGGGGGAATAACGGTCCAAAGTCCCCTTTTTTAGTGCCGTTGAAACTTTGAATGGTCACCAAACGAATGGTTTTAAGTAGAGGACTACCTCTGGTTGCTGGGATTGAATGCTCTCTGGGTTGAGAATCAATTCCTTCTATTCTTCTTTTTCCAGGACGATGTTTGCAACGAGGGAACAAAGGCCCGACAAATGAAACAACCAGGTGAGTTTGAGTAGGGTGTCTACTAGGGATTGGAAATACATATTGTTAAGGATAATAGCCTCAGGAAAATGGGTTTGCAGAGATTCACAAGAGGCACACCAGTAGCAGGATATACTATTAAAATATTGCCAAGTCTAATTTTTGCTTTCTTCCTTGCAGCCTCTCCCGTCGTTCCTTCCCCGGAGCAGTGCCTGGACACTGAATTGAGAAATAGCAACCACGAAGAAGAAATTCCAGTAAGAGGCAGAATGACGGGCTTAGGATGAGGGGAGAGTAGATGATTTTTTGAGGCTAGAAAATGGGGGATGTGAGTTCTAGTATTGCCTTAGGCATGAAAGATGGCTGGGTGACTTTGGGCCAATCACCAGGAGACGGTGAGTTTAGTTCTGCTTTAGGGATCAAAGCCAGTTGGGTGACTTTAGGTCAATCAACAGGAGACAGTAAGTTCTAGTTCCGCTTTAGGCATGAAAGCCAGCTGAGTGACTTTAGGTCAATCACCAGGAGACAGTGAATTCTAGTTGCGCCTTAGGCATGAAAACTGTCTGGGTGATTTTGGTCCAATCACCAGGAGATGGTGAGTTCTAGTTCCGCTTTAGGTATGAAAGCCAGCTGGGTGACTTTGGGCCAACCACCAGGAGACAGTCAGTTTAGTTCCACTTTAAGGCAAGAAAGCCAGCTGTGTCAATCACCAGGAGACAGTGAATTCTAGTCACGCCTTAGGCATGAAAACTGTCTGGGTGATTTTGGGCCAATCAGCAGATGAAATCCTGCCTCAGGCCATAAAGCCAGTTGGGTAACTCACCAGGAGGCTGTGAGTTCCAGTCCTGCCTTAGCCATGAAAGCCAGCTGGATGACTTTAAGTCAGTCCTTCTCTCTGTCTAAGCCCATTCCACCTCACAGGGTTGTTGTTGCGGGAAAAACAAGAAGAGAAATGTGTGTTGGATACATTTGCCATCTTGAGTTGTTCGTAAAAATTATAAAGGCGAGATATAAATAAAAAAAAATTAAAAATTCACTTCTGCAACATCTAAACATGGAGCCATAAGGTTGAGCTGCGAAAAATAAATAAATAAATAAAAAATCAAGCTGTAAAATTAACTCCAGGAAGTTTTGCCAGGAAGGAAGTTGGCAGGCCAGACTTTTGTAAAACAGGAATTGTAAAACAAAGTAAGTACAGACCTAAGATCTGAACAGTTTCGTTTTGCTTTCTCATATCCAAAGTTCCTTTTTTTTTTGCTATTAATTTGGAAGCCAGGCACCACAGCACATACCTGATTACTCTCAATTAAAATGTAAAGGTATGTAAATTTAAATTTTAAAACCTAGCATTGCGCTGAATTTACTTTCAGTTTAAAAAAAATTAAAATTAAAATTAAACTCAACATCAGTTTAAAAATCTAGCATTAAAAATGAATTTAATTGAAATTTAACATTTAAATGTTTTTCATTAATGACCATGTGATTTCACTTAATGACCGTGGTGATTTGCTTAAGCATCTTGGCCAAAAAAGTTTGTAAAATTGAGCATGACTACCTCGCTTAGTAAAACTACCTCGCTTAGCAACTGAAATTGTGGTCCCAAATAAGTAAGACTTCCTGTATACTTAGAGATCATTTAGTCCAAGCCCAGGCTGCAGTCACCCAAATTCAAATTTTTCTTCTGGGTTTACACAGCACGTTCAAACGCCAAATGAGAAATTTCCCTCCAGAGGCCAGTTTTTTTTCTACAGGTATTTGCAAAAACAGCAGCTTGGAAGCTCAAAATCCCTTCAGTTTCTTGAGAAATTCAGCTTTTCAAATCCAGAAAGTTTCTAGCCCTCATGAGGTCTGAGAACACGCGCTGTGGCGAAGGGCGTCTCATGACGCCTGACAAATCACGTGGAAATTGAGCAATTGTTGAATTTCCTTCGTCTCTTTGTGGTTGTTGGACTGAAGGGGAAAAGATAAAGAGGGCTCTTGTTTGTTGTGATCACGGGTTCAAATTCAGAGAGAATGAGCTTTTTTTCCCTTCTGGGCAGAGCTGAGATGTCCAGGAGGACTGTCTAACAGGACAGGAAGCAACTCATTTCACAACCAAATTGCAAGAACTCCGTGTAAACTCAGCCCAGGAAAAGTCCTTCCCAATTCCCTTGGATAGTTTCTCCAGATCAGGGGGGGAAAATTATAAGGGGAAAAAAATCTGCTTTTCACATTGCAAAACAAAGCAATGCGGATGTCTTTCTCTTTCTTTCCTTCCTTCCTTTCTCAATCCTTTCTTTTTTCCTTTTTACTTTTTTTCATTCCTTTCTTTCCTTCCTTTCTTTCTCAATCCTTTTTTCCTTTTTACTTTTTTTCATTCTTTCCTTTCTTTCCTTTATTTCTCAATCCTTTCTTTCCTTTCTTTCTTTCCTTTCTTTCTCAATCCTTTCTTTTTTCCTTTTTACTTATTTTCATTCTTTTCTTTCTTTCCTTTATTTCTCAATCCTTTCTTTCCTTTCTTTCCTTCCTTTCTTTCTCAATCCTTTTTTCCTTTTTACTTTTTTTCATTCTTTTCTTTCTTTCCTTTATTTCTCAATCATTTCTTTCTTTCCTTCTTTCCTTCCTTTCTCAATCCTTTCTTTTTTCTTTTTTCCTTTTTTTATTCTTTTCTTTCTTTCCTTTATTTCTCAATCCTTTCTTTCCTTTCTTTCCTTCCTTTCTTTCTCAATCCTTTTTCTTTTTCCTTCCTTCCTTTCCTTTTCTTCCTTTCCTTTTCTTCCTTCCTTTCTCAATCCTTTCTTTCTTTAAAATTATTTTAGTCATTATCCTGAGGACTAGAATCTTCATTTTTTAAAATCAGGAGCCACATG